TTGACTTCTCCAAACCCTTCCCTTTATACTCTTGCAAGTTGCATGCTTTACTTTCCGCTGCCCATAAACTCTTTGCATGCTTGCTTGAATTGTGTGATGATTGCTTGACTTGTCCTAAAATAGCTAAAATCTTCCAAGAACTAAAATTGGGAAAAGGTTAAGTTTTTAATTGGTCAAGTAGTCTAATCACCCCCCCTCTAGACATACTTTCGATCCTATAGCGACGTCGAGCTGCAATAGCTTGAGCTCATCATGGGCTTGCGTGGAGAGCGGCAGCTGAAAGGTTTCATGCAGGGTGGTGGCCGTTAGGAAGTCTCGGACCGACAAATCTTCGTCTTGGACGTAAGAGAAAGCCCTCGGGTATTTATTAGCTTATACAACATTATTCTAGTTGTCTTTCCAAAAAAGTGCAGATGTACCCTGTTTGATTTGAACATGAGTGATACCACGATATATTGGCATTAGGTGAACAAGATCGCGCCACTAGCAGGAGCCGCATATGTCGGTTGCATGGGGGATCGAATCAACATAGTACGTCTCCCAAACCAGCTGCACCCAAGGAATGCCCATTTTGTTGAAAAACTTATGAAGGAATTTGAGAAGCAGGCCGTCATTTTGAACCTTCAGATCAAGAATCCCGAGGCCACCACTAGATTTAGGTCGACAGACCATGGGCCAAGCAGCTAGTGAGTTATGTTTGTCGCCATCCACAGTTTTTTTTCTTCTAGAGACAGTATCTGCGTATTTTGTCCTACTGAGCAAGGATTTTCGGCGGCAGACGCAGGGTGCCCATCGGATAGATGGCGAGCGAGGTAATGAGCGAGTTGAGCAGAGCCAACCTTCCGGCATGTGACATGACAGACATAGCTGCTGTGATCTTTCTTTCAGCTTTGCACACAAATGGTGTCATATCAAGAATCAAAGCTCGCGTGGTCCCTAAGGGCAAACCCAGGTAAGTAAATGGCATGTTGGCTTGGGTGCAACCAAAAAGGTTGGCCAGAGCATTGCAAGTGTCCGCCGGCGTGTTGATAGGCACGAGTGTGGATTTATGAAAATATCTTAAGGCCAATGAAGGTGGCGTAGTCTTCAAGAATTTGTTTTATCTTGGCTGCTTGGAGAAGACACGCCGGCAACACTATGATAGTGTCGCCCGCATACTGGATTACCGGATACTTTGCATCACCTTTGGGAGGGATGGGCTGTCTGATTAGGCCTTGATCAAGTGCTTCATTAATGGCAGACTACAAGAGATCGGCCGCAATGACAAAAATGAGGTGAGACATGGGATCTCCTTGGCGTACTCCACATTTGCACTAAAAATGCCGACCAGGTACACCGTTCAAAAGCACAGAAGACTTGTCAGTTAAATTTTTGGTAAAAATTTAGCACAAATTACATAGGGGACTAATAAACTAGGACGGAGGCAATATAGAAGATTCCAATAAGTGATGGGAGAGGCCAGGGGGCCACCTCATGGATTAGACACGTGGGGCCCCCTAGCACCGCCATGCGCCGATTCCTTTGCCCATAAACCCCATATTTTTCGAAAACATCTATACCATTTTCCATGCTTTTTTCCGCCGCCACAAGTTTCTGTTCCGGGGAGATCTTATCTGAAGGCCTGTACCAGCATCCCGCTGGAGGGTGAATCCATTACTGGAGCCATCTCATCAACCTTGTTACCATCAAAAACTTGTGTGAGTAGTTTCCTTAGGACGTTATGGTCCATAGCCGTAGCTAGATGGCATCCTCTCTCTCTCAAGTGATTCAATACAAAATTCTCATGAGGTGCCTGACATGATCGGCATCAATAAAATGTAATCATTGTTTATGTTTGTTAGAATATGATGAATTGTCACTTTATTATCAGATTGTTCCTTGAATTATATTTAACCTTATGAAGTTTCTTCGGTCCATAAGTGTATGCTTCTCAATCTATTTGTCATCTCTGACCATGATTGGTAGGTAGTTCTTTATAGATATTTGTGCATGGTAGTGAGTTCAACCTTGCGGTGAGTTTGACCCTATTGACAATAAGGGATTGGACACATATTGTATTGTTGCCACTAAGGATAAAATTGTACTTTCTTAATCACTTACATATGATAGTTCTATTGCCTACACTATGCCATCATACTTATTGCAATGCTTTGTTTATTATAAACTTAATGTTGGATAGTAGGATTGGGGTGGAGTATTAGATGAAGATGCAGCTGGATAATGATCTGCATATCACGGACGTAATGCCTATGCAAGATCATGCCATGAATGATCATAGTCATTAATCCTATAAAGGATGCTGGAATACCAGCATCCTTGGGCTCCTCACGGCGAAGAGAGGCTCCTGGTCGTCGGTCACCGTTTGGTTTGCGGCGGGAGGCTCTCAAGGCCGATGCAAGCCATCCGATTTGCCCGGATAGCTTGCGCTTGGGCGACCTACCTGGAGGGTACATGACGGATGGATTGCGTGTCAGCCCGAGGCCACTACCCTTGGGTGGTTCTCGACGCGCACCTGCCCCCGCGTGGTGGCACATCCGGACCCTCCTGGCGGTGTGTATACCCCACGTCGGGCCAAAGCCATGGGGCTGAGTCGGGTAGCGTCTAACCCGATTAACTTGGTTGGATGGTCCATGATAGGTGGATCACTTAGTGCGTGAGGGGCCATCGTCATTGGGGTCGGATCACACGAGAGATCCACGGGCTATGAGAGCATATGTGCCATCGGTTGCTTTGTGGCATGCGGCTGTAGCCTCTCAGGGATGATCCGATTCGTCCGATCTTCCCGGACGGCTCGTACCCAGGAGACCCGGCTGGGAGGTCCATGATAGGTGGACCGCCGGGTCCGCCTGGGGCCACTCTCACTGGGCGCCGCCCGTCGATTCTTGCCAGCATGGGGGAGTCTAAGGCCCGCCATCGGGCCAAAGCCACATTGCTGGGTCAGGTCATGGCGGGCCCGGGTGAATCGGCTAGTAAGTCCATGACAGGTGGGCATTCCAGTGCATCCAGGGCCACCGTCATTGGAGCCGGGTTGCTTGAGTGACTTGAACATTGACACTGGTGGTGCCACCGGGAAGGGAAATGCGCTAGAAATTTATTAGTGAATCATGATCTATGCTTCTCTTTATTGGCGATGGTTGCTGCTCTAGTGTAGTGGTCCTATGAGGCCTTGTCGTGAGGACTCCCGTCTAACTACTACAAAAAAGTTTCGCCGACATCAGTGAGAGAGAGGGGCGATGATGGCGGCGCGTCTTCAGCTCACTCCAGTGCTTGTTGTTGTCGCTGACCTAGATGTAATTTCTATTAGTCCTGGTATTCTTTGTGCTCCCTTAATAGTGGATGAATCAACTGGAAGTTTTTTTTTTCCGAAAAATAACATACATTGTATGTTGTATTGGTTGAAGAACTCTTTATGTCCATGTATATCATGTTGGTCTACAACATATAATGGATCACAACCACCCGTTTATGTCCATGTATATTATGTATATAGATAATCAGAACCACCCTTTTCCTATTGTTGTAATCATATAATATTGTTATAAATATGGAAATATTCACTCCACAAATAGGATTAATGAGTATTAATTATGCCCTATGTATAGGACATGCCACAACTGTCAATATCCATGGCATGTGAGCCTTATACTTGGAAACAAGTTATTGTGGTGTTCTTTTCTATTGTGTGCATAGGAAGTTTTTCTTCCAAAAAAAAACATACTACATATTTATTATTAACTAAAGAAATCGTTATGTCCATGTATATCATTTAGATCTACAAATATATTATCGACCAAAGTCGTTCTTTTCTATTGATTGTATGAAGAAGCAATTTATATTGTTTTAATAGCATAATATATTGTATCGATATGCCAATATTCACTCCACAAATATGCTTAATGAGTATTAAATATGACCTATATATAGGCCAATGCAAAATCCATGATATATGAGCCTTATATTTGGATAGAAGTAATTGCTTGCATTAATCATGGGTCATGGCAAAAAACTTGCATGCTGCTCATGGCTTTAAATTCGGATGGTCATAGCTACTTTGCTGAATGAGTTTGATATATCAGTAGGAACAAAACAGGTTCGTGTACTTTCTCGCCTATCGAAGTTCTAAGGAGGACGACAACCGAAGCCACCTGTATTTCCTTAAGCCATTCATCTAGTAATGTTTATACCCTTCTACTCTAGTTATCCTTGGATATATAGCTTCTAATGTTGAGCAGGAATACTCCGTCACATCTCTCATCCCTTGTATTCTTGGAAAAAAGGTAGATCCACCATGGAGTGAGTGGATACACAAAGAAAGTAGCATTTCATCACTTTGCTTGGGAGATGGCTAGGATCTTGCTATACGTAGATCTGTTTGTATATATTCATAGATCTGATTGTATTATCGTGCCTATGATGCTATTATTTATGGCTAATATGATTTCCCTCGCATATTATATTTTAATATCTTGCTTCTACAATTGTAGGAGTAGTTGGTACTTATCTTATTGTATGTAGGGTCTTGTTTATTTATATCACATACGGAGTCTGTACATAGATACCAATGTATATATAGATAGAGTAAGGATTTTCTGATACATATAAAAGAACACGATGAGATAAGAAAGTAATAGTTTTGCATTACTATGTAGGGCATATACGTTTAGAAATTATTGAAGTAATCAGCGTAGATAATCATGAATATGTGATAGTGAATTCAGGAAATTATGTCAATATACTTTTTGAGAGTAATTTAAGTCTACTTGATTACATCTCGGTCTAGGAAACTCATACAGATGAATTTTAAGTATTCTTAATGTGGAGTAACATCCAACTATGTTGGAAATTAAAATCTAAATCTAAATGTACTACATTGGCAACTAAAGTCTACTTGATTTCATTTTTCACTACCGCATTCTTTTTTCTTAAGATATTTGTTCATTGCTACCTTTAATAAGTCTACACATGAGAATAAATATTTTGTTTCATGATAACAGATCATCATGGATGGGGAGCTGCCGGAATACGACAGTGATGTGCAAAATATGTTGGACCTCTTCATCACAAGCGAGCAGGGCCACCTACTCCAGCATGAGAATGGTGATGAGATGCATGGCCTGCTGGGAGCCACTACCAACATGGGCAACACTGACGATGCCAACGCTGCTGCTGCAGACAAAGGCAACAATAACGATGGAGAGATCAATAGTGAGCAGAGAATGGTGACAAGGCGTGCAAATTATAAGCGTCTCCATGGAGAACAAATCCAACAACTTGAAGTGTACAATACATACTCAATCAATGTTTCTTACCTATCAAAAAAGATGTGTACTAATCCATTTTCATTAACGTGATATGTAGTGTGTTCCAAGAAAGCCCTTATCCAGATGCGAAACTCCGGCAAGACCTTAGCGAGAGGCTTGGCATGAGTGCCCTGCAGGTCAAGTTTTGGTTCCAAAACAAACGCTCCTCCAGCAAGGCATATATTCCATTCTTTTCCACAGTGAATTACATGACATTTGGGCACATGGGTCACCTAAGACATGCAGCTATGCAAGTTTTACTGTTAAACAGTACAAACTCCACTAAAAATAGTAGCATTATTGGTCATCTAATATTACAATGTAGTACTATATAATCCCCTCGTGAACATGGTAGCATGCATACTTTGCTAACCCACTAAAATGACGCAGACTTGAAATTAATAAATGCAGGGCAAGAGGCAACTACAGGACACCAAAAATCTTCAGGGAGAGAACCAGATGCTAAAAGATGAAAACCAAGCTATCAAGTGGGTTGTTGAACACAAGGCATGCCTCAAATGCGCATGGGTGATACTAAAAACTCAGGATACCTCGGAGCACCAACGTCTGTGTACAGAGAATATGAGGCTCAAGGAAGAACTCCGCCATGCCACCGCCTATCTTAAAGAGGGTCTCTACCGTAATGGCATGTGGCCCCAATTTACCCGCAACTAAGCACAGCGTCTTCTGTGTTAGTCAACGTCACATGAACCCTAGTTTCCTTTATTCCTCGGCTAGCAAATAACGCGCCATGTCGTGTGTGTATGCACACGACTTGGCTGCTGGTTTATTTCTTTATGTAGACTGTTGTGGTTGCTATATGGGATGGCATGAGACCTAGCGATTGCGGCAGCAATGTTGGGGTTGTGGAGTGAGTGGCTTTGGGATGGAATTGCCATGAAGCTCGGTCCAACTCATGTCTTTCTCCCTTCCTATTTGTACCTGAACGGCCCAAGTAGTGGTCAAATGAATAGACAAGCAAAAAAAAAATCTGCTAGTTGAATGCCGCACAAGAATTTTGTGTGTCTTGTAACATTTGATCGTGTGAGTGTGCCATTCATTGAGATAGCTTTTACGTTGATCCTTCTCGGCAACAAAAAGTGGTATGAGATCATTGATCCTGTTCTGGAGCCTTTGCTTGCCATCCACACACACACTTCTCGGTGCGTGCACCTACAGAGTCATGCCCGGATCTGGATGACACGGACCTGCGGCGAGCTACAAGTAGTAGTACAGAATTCGGTGAACCGGATGGTCATGCCCAAGAATTATGCCAAATTGGCTCCTCTGTCGCGTATGAATCGGCAAGTGTTGGGCTACTGCAAGGCCGTGGAGCAGAAAGCAGCAGCCAGCTTCTGGCTCAGCGGTTGGCAGAAAGCAGTCAGAGCGAAATTTTGCCAAATTGACATGGATCGGATCGACTCAGCGGTTGGCAGAAAGCAGTCAGAGCGAGCAGCCAGCTTCTGGCTGCAGTGCGTGCATTCTTAATGTTATATAGGAGTAAAATCACTGCAGCGGCAAGGAACGACACCAATTACTTGGGGCTTTCCAGAGCTGCAGAGCAGATATGAACAAGAGCCAAAGGTGACCCTCAAGATCATTGGTTAGTTCCCCGACAAATAAAAGCGATACAATTGATTCGGGTTTTTATGATCAATTTATGCACGAGCTTGACACATCACTTGACTTGTACGTACGCCCTTTCATGTGTAACTCAACCTTGTTTGTGCAGACTCCACTGGGCCTCTCCTAGATCATATATTAAACAGAAAAGGTAGGAGGTCAGTCGACATGCAAGTAGATCAGTTAATGGTGATTGAATGGTCGATCATTAGTGAATTGAGAAAACTAGCTAGCTACCTTCAAAACCGTTTTGGCAGCGGGCTGGAGATGAATCTTTTCTCATAATCCACTACCATATTGCTTCACGATGATTACCATTCGTACGATAAATGTCCGTGTGAAACACGTTTCGTTAAATTACCCGAAAAGTGTTAAGAATCAGTGGGCGGGTTGCAACCCAACCATTGCACTGCGGTGGAGATGGATCATGGATCATGGGTCTATCTTTTTTGGAAAGGTGCCACCACTGTCAACTGCTAGTGGTGATATGTTTTGTTCGGTCGTTGGTGTAAGATGAAACACACGCTTCTCTCGTTCCTGCCGTTTGCACTGCACTCATTAGATTATCATTCAGCTGTATGCATGCATGCATCCCATGCGCCGCTACGAGGGAAGCACCGATGACCGCATCGCCACTTTCATACTGGTCCACTTATTACAAAGGCGACCGTGGCCGAGCAGAATCCTAAGGTTTTGTGCTACTTTTGTTTTTTGTCCCCCGCTATCTACCCTGCAGCATCCTAAGGTTTTATCTCCGCCCTCGCGTGACAAGCTGAAAGGTACAAGTTTACGGAAAAAGACTTTCACCCCGCTTTATATATAAAATAAAGATCACCAACATCCCGACACAAACGCACGCCACCACAATAAAAACACACATCCAAGGTATGATATACAGACGCTGAGCGCAGCAACACCACACCTAACTACGAAGAGATGAAGCCGCATACGACGATCCGTGGACTTCAAGACGGCGCCTCCAGCAAGGATACGACACCAGAGCGCCGCCACGGCCCGATCCAAGGATCAGAGTATCCCCAGGAGCACACGATGGGCGATGAGAGCCGCGACGACGCCTTCAAGAAGGAAACGAGTTTCGCCGCCGCCGGTCTGTCCGCAGAAAGAACATGTTTTCACCCCGGCCAACACTCACCGCCACCGAACGCCACATCCCGGCTGCCACGCCGCCCGCACGGTCGTGGTCACCGGGCAGCACCAAGCCGCGGGCTCTGCCCAAAAGCACCACGCTACTACCACCGGGGCCGCCGCCCCGGCATCCCAGACCTAGGCAACACCTGACCCGTGACCCACCGCTACCCCAACCGAAGAGACGAGCGGAAAGGCGCCGCCTTTCGCACCCCTGCACGACCCCCAGCGCCGAGACTCAATAGGCCGGCCACAACTGGCCTCCATCGCCTGTCCTGCAGCCCCGAGCGCGAGACGAGCTCCGTCCTGCCGCCGGGCGCGAGAGGAGCTCCGTCCTGTAACTCCTGGCCTGAGACGTGTGATGAACCGTTGCTGGGAGAGGGCCAGCCCTTGGACCGAAGTATCGCCCGGACAACGAGGAGATGGAGCGATGGTCGAAGCGGTCCGACCGCAAACGAGCCGACGTTGGAGATAGCCAGCTGATACGTCTCCAACATATCTATAATTTTTTATTGTTTCATGCTATTATATTATCAACCTTGGATGTTTTTTATGCATTTATATGCTATTTTATATGATTTTTGAGACTAACCTATTAACCTAGAGCCCAGTGCCAGTTCCATTTTTTCCTTGTTTTTGAGTATCGCAGAAAAGAAAAATTAAACGGAGTCCAATTGACCTGAAACTTCACGGAACTTATTTTTGGAATGGAAGCAATCCAGAAGACTTGAGGTGTACATAAGGGAAGCAACGAGGAAGGCACGAGGCAGGGGGCGCGCCCACCCCCCTGGGCATGCCCTCCACCCTCGTGGCTCCCCTGACGTATTTCTTCCTCCTATATATATCCATATACCCTAAAAACTTCGAGGAGCAGAATAGATCGGGAGTTCCGCCGCCAGAAGCCTCCGTAGCCACCGAAAACTAATCTAGCCCCGTTCCGGCACCCTGGCGGAGGGGGAATCCCTCTCCAGTGGCCATCTTCATCATCCGGTGTTCTCCATGACGAGGAGAGAGTAGTTCTCCCTCGGGGCTGAGGGTATGTACCAGTAGCTATGTGTTTGATCTCTCTCTCTCTCTCTCTCTCTCTCGCTCTCTCTCTCTCTCTCTCTCGTGTTCTTGAGGTGGTACGATCTTGATGTATCGCGAGCTTTGCTATTATAGTTGGATGTTATGATGTTTCTCCAGAAGAGTTACTATGATAGCAAGCATCGTGACTTGGCTTTCGAGATCGGAAACCATGTCTACCTCCGTGTCTCTCCAGTGAAAGGTACTCGTCACTTCGGTATCAAAGGGAAGCTTGCCCCTAGATACGTGGGTCCTTTCAAGATCATCGGCAAAGAGACGATCTCGCCTATCAACTTGAGCTTCCATCCAACTTTGCAAACATGCACGACGTGTTTCACGTCTCTCAACTCCGCAAGTGTTTCAAGACTCCTGACCGCACCATCAACTTTGAAGAGATTGATCTCCAAGAAGACCTGTCTTATCGTGAGCACCCCATTGCTATTATTGAAGAAACTGAGCGCAAGACTCGCAACAAGTCTATTAAATTCCTGAAAGTCAAGTGGTCACATTGTTCCGACCGTGAAGCCACCTGGGAACGCGAGGATCACCTCCGTTCTGAATACCCGGAGTTTTTCCAGTCCTAGATCTCGGGACGAGACCCTTTCGTAGTGGTGGAGTGTTGTAACACCTCGTATGTAACATGCCATATTTGTATTCCAACTCTTGCCTTTTCCGGCGATAAGTTATGATATTTCCTTGTTGTCGGGTTTTTGTCTTCGTGTGCTTTTTTCTTCTCATGCATCTCATATCATCTCATCATGTGCATTGCATCTGCATACGTGTTCGTCTCATGCATCCGAGCATTTTCCCCGTTGCCCGTTTTGCATTCCAGCGCTCCTATGTCCTCCGGTGTCCCTTTCTACCTCTTTTCGTGTGCGGGTGTTAAACATTTTCAGATTGGACCGAGACTTGTCATGTGGCCTTGGTTTACTACCGGTAGACTACCTGTCAAGTTTCGTGCCATTTAGACTTCGTTTGATACTCCAACGGTTAACTGAGGGACCGATAAGGCCTCGTGTGTGTTGCAGCCCAACACCCCTCCAAAGTGGCCCAAAACCCACCTAAACCCCTTCCATCATCTAGGCCGTTCGATCACGATCGCGTGGTCGAAAACCGTGCTCAATTTGGAGCCTCCTAGCTCCTCCTACCTATAAAAAGGCATCACCACCCGAAATCCTGTATCTCTTCCCCCCAAACCCTAAAAATTCTGCTCCTCGCACCGCCGGACATGTCCGGAGCGGACCGGACGCGTACGCCCGCCGCCTCAGCCTATCCCCACTCGACACGTGGCACCACGGGAGCCCCACTTCGCCGCGCCGCCGCCCGGCCCGCGGGAGTCCCCCGCGGCCCGTTGCCACCGCGCCGCCCACGCCCTTCCTCGTCCTTCGCCGCTCCGGCGACCGCCGCCTCGGTCCATGCCGGCGGGCCCGCCGCCTCACTCCTCGCCGGCAATCGCCTCGCAGGACGCCCCGGCTTCCGCGCCGCCGATGCCGCGCCTCCTCCGAAGCCCGGCCGGCCTCTCCTTCCTCCTCAGCGTCCTCCCGGCCGGCCACCGCGTCCCTGTTCTGGCGAGCCACTCCAGCGAGCACCTCGGGTTCCGCGCCACTACAGTGACCTCGATCCGGATCTGGATTTGGAGACCTAACAGTTGACCTAATTTGCCCCATTTCAGTAATTATTTGCATACTTCATCATCTCATAACTCTGCACCTGTGGCTCTGTTTTGCGTGTGTAGCATATCGAAATGTTGGCCTCGACGAGTACTTCATTTCATCTCATTGCATCATGTTTATTTGAGCTCATCTTGATGCCCTAAATGCTGTTGGAAGAGTGCTAGTTTC